TTGATTTAAGTAATAATTGTTTTGATAAACTGTTTAAACTTCAAACGTCACTCTCTTTTCCCTGTCTGTCACATCATATTTCTGTATCTTTTCTCTCGTTTTTTTTTCGTTAAGCATAATGCATGGCTATCTTAATTTAAGTCAAATCCTAGAGATAAAAATATTGACAAGAAAACATGACTAAGTCCACTTAGTCATTTTCTCCTGTACAGGTTTTTACAAAATGGACTTGGTCATTATGGAATTTGAAATTATAAGCATTATTATGGCATTTTTGGACTTGTTCACTTTTTTCAGAAAAATAATATTGAATTTCCGGTACATGAGCATTGAAACCTAAAAATCTAAAATTTTGGATTTGGTCACATTCTCTTGTATACCGACGATATGATCGATACTATATTGATTTAATATTGGACAACTATCTCCATCTTGGTTAACTTTACTCGGTTCAATTAGAAGAAATGATTCATTCTTTGTTAAAATAATTACTTTGAATATGTTACATACACGTTAGCACGTCCACAACGATTTAAAATATAAAAACTTCTAACTTCTTGTTCCCAAGGATAAATAAGCCCAGCTTCAACAACTTGCATAATAAACTTATTAAAAAATTTCAATAATTCCCAATTTTTCCTACAAATAAACGCCAAATGAACCGATGATATACTATCGTGCATTAATTGTAGATGATGTATTGTTTTTGGATCTATATTTTCAGATGCATAATTCACTAAAACTTTACCAATAAAGCGCGATAAAAATTAATGAAATTATTTATTACGATATTTAGTTTCTTCAATGATAATTCCAGCGTTGCGATTTTGAACCATATCGTTAATTTCTTTGTGAGTGGCCTCAAAGAAATGGCTAATCACTTTATTATCTCTCACCTACAAGTATTGTTATGAATTTAGATTTTAGTAAAAATTAAATATTACAAATTCAGATGAAGATAAAGGTAAAGAAAATTCTTCGATGTTAAACGTCCCAAGTTTTAAATCGCACTCGATTAGTTCCTCAATAGAATTAATTGCACGTTCATAACTAAAAATGGTTGGATATTAATTAAAGGTGTTAATTTAATTTACCTTTTTTACCTTGGAACAATTAATATGCTAGCAGCTCCACTGTTATAAATAGAGGCGACAATGAAACTTGTTAAATGAACCCAAACGAAGATGCTTTTAAAGGTAAGTAAAATACTTGGAATTGATGGAGATTGAGAGAAGAACATCCCATAAATTGCTAACCAACTTTTAATAATGTTGGATTTTTGATAAAATTGAGATTTATAAATAATTAAAGTTATTATTACAATAAATGTAATGAATAATAACGTCAATATAATCCAACTTCCTGGGGATAAAGCCCTAAAAGGGGCTAAAGTTCCTTGTAATAACCTATAAAGAAAATTAATAATCTCAAATTTTTTTTTAAATTAACTTAATACTTTGGTTTTGGAACGAGTGCTTTAAATTTCGTGTAATAATAAACCGTTGTCAGATCTAAATCTTTGTAAATTCTCGTAAGTTGAAAGCCACCTAAAGCTACATCAGCTTGGTTTTCACGAACCAATTCATATAAACGTTGCCAATTTTCTTCCTTTTCTTGCAAAATAATTAAAGATGCATTATAAATCGTCGAAAAAAGCTTCAGGAGGTTAATATCGATCCCGAAAGATTTTTGGGCGCCAAAAATAACGTACGGTAAATAATTAAATCCAGTAATTCGAATTGTTATTTCATGAAAGTTGTTATTAATAGGATAAAGATTGTTGTTGTATAAAAATCCTTTCTTAGGGGACCAAATATCGATTAAAGATGAATTTTGATAGTTATATAAATTATATATTTCTTCATCTTGGTTATAATAAACATCCAAAATATTTAAAAATTCTCTTTTCGTTACACTTAATTTTTTTTCTTTAATTGAATCATTTTTACTTGGAAGTAATAAATACGCTCGTTCATCATACTGATATTTTAACTTAGGTAAAATCGATTCTTCTAAATAATTTAAAATTACCGTTCGTTCATTTGATTGTATAACAAAAAAATTGCAAAAAATATTGTTTATTAAAACACTTTTAACAAAATCTTCTTTTAATTCATCCAATTTAGTATATCGAAACACCACAACTGATTTATTTAAATAAGAAAATCCATCATTTTCACCATGAAGAATTACGAAAACACAATTTGTTTGTTTAAAATAAACATCCACAATAATATTTGTTAATACTGAAAGATATAAAAACATTTTTTTAGTCCGGTTGGAATAAAAATGATGAGAGTTTATTTTATCCTAATTATAACGATAATGACTTTTTGCTATACAGATTTCTTATCAGAACTAAAAGTTTTAATGTTTTTTTTAGTCCTTTTATTGTGCTACAAATTAAAGAAACATTTTATACCTCCTACAATTTCATTAACAGTCTTTTCGTGTTTTGCATGTTAAATCAATTAATTAATTTAAACATTTAAATTCTTTTATGACACAGATTAAGATTTTCTTTTCCGGAATACACAAATATTTTATTTTATTACCCATTGTTTTGATATCAACTCGAATCGACCTTCTCAACGTTCCATATGTAATCAAGGATTATTATATAAAACGCTGTTAAGAATTTCAATTAGTGAATCAAATTTGATTTGAGCAATGAAATAGTTTAAAATGATTAAAAATTAAAGATGTTTCAAAATGACTTGGCGCATATTTAAAGAATTAATGATTAATAAAGTGTGTGAGTAAAAAAATTGGAATGAGATGTCCTCTACGTGCGTTTACTTTTAATATCAATTTGAAATTGCAAAATTGTCGAATCGTTTAGTAGTGGGGTAGAGTAGTTTTTTTAGTGGAAGGACGATAGTTTTAAATCATTGTTCACAGTCCACTGGCATCATTATATAGTTGAATTTGCATACATTCACATTTTCATCATGAAGTTTAAGGGAGGAAATTATTTTAATATTGTTCTAGTTTTACTCAATTTTCTACAATTATCGTTAACTGGTGAGTATTAATTAATTTATTATTCGAATTTTTTATTTTCAATTTAAAATATATTTATAAAATCTATTTTTGTTAAATTTTGGAAAGTTCTTCTTTTTGTGGAATTAACTTGATTATTTTTATCTTTAACAAGAAACTTCAATTACGGATGTATTTTTATTTTTTAATCTTCTCATTGCCTCCACGAATAATTAAGATAATTGGAGAATTGAGAAATAAATACGATGATTTTAATTGCTGAGGTGTTTCGTTTGGGTTTTTCTAATTTTACTTCATTTTCACTTAAAAAATATACATTCAAATATCAATGAATAGAAGTAACTGGAGCATACACGCTTTTTTGATTTCATTCTCTATTATCATCATTTCTATTATGACAATTTTTCAATTTGAACTTTTCCATGCATAACGACCACTTTTACTTTTAATTTACAATAACTTTATTATTTAAAACAAAGTAATAACAATACGTTCTTATCGTTACAACTTCAACATAAAATTAAAAAAAACATCGATTATCCGGGATCGGGAGTTTTATTAAAAATCCGGACAATCCAGACATGTTATTATTTAAAGTTATTTAATATGTGACAGTTTTAACATTATTGAGTTCTTGATAACGCAGGTACAATGCGTATACGTCTTATCCTGAAGATGCTTATATGGTGCATCTTCTTCTATACTCATTCTATCTCGTTGCTTTTAAAATCACCGTGATTAGCTATCTGTAGCAAAATATCTGGCACAGTTTTCTCTTGCATCAGATTAATCAATTCAGATATTTGAACACATTTAGAACAATCTCAAGAGATAAATCAAATAATGTATTGAATATTATTGGTATTATTGTAACTTTACCTTCTTATTGTAAAACTCTTTCTCTGACAACAATATGGTCACCAATTTGCTTGATATGATATTAATCAGTGAGCTTCGGCTTACATCTATAAGTAAGACATCTATAACTTCATCTGATAAAGCCGAGATCTTTTGCAGTCGAGGCACTACAATGTGGAGACTAATTTCAAGTAAATATGATATTAATCATCGAACCTAGGACGCAAACGACCTCAGCTTCATTAGTCAAAAGATCTCCAACGCTACTATATGATGGCCAGATTAAGGTTTATATGATTTTAATCAGTGATCCTCGCCCGTATGCAACCTCGCCTTAATTAGTTAAAAGATCTAAAACTTCACTTGATAAATCCGAGGCTGCAAGCGGCCGATTATCTGTTTTCTTAGTCTGGTTTTAGTCTGGTTCAGTAGTCTCTGTAGTGATTTTTTTATTAACCACACAGAAAATTATTGATATACGTTTTGTTTACGTTTATATCCAGCAAAATTCAACATCTATGTTGATACAATGATATTGATAGATGTGGAAATCCATGCTTTTGGGAGCGGAAAATAGTTAGGTACAATTTTGAAGGAGTTCAAGGACAGAGTTGGGGTTAGGAATAACGTTGAAACTGCTCTGGAAGAATTTTCGTAGATAACAGATAATGTAATGAAGAAAGGTGACAATGTTAAAGCTAGTTACGAGCGGTATTGAACAAGATCAGGAATCAGGAGCGATATTAAAGTGGTTACGAATGATACTGAGGGAGGCTAAATACGATACGGAGCGATGTTAGGTTCATTGTTGAATGGTTCATCAACGATGTTGACGAACGCTGGATTTAACGTTAATAGATGTGAGAGAGAATATTGAGGGATGTCTAAGGTAATATTGGGAGAAGCGAGAGATGAGGGTTATTAGGGACAATATAGAATGCAGTTATGAATGAAATTGCAAGATATTGCGACATTGAGAACTATCAAGGATGATGTAGGGTGGCATCAGGGGCTGTGTTAAGGCAGCCTATGTGCAATATTTGGGAATAATGTTGGAAAATATCAAATACTGGATGGAAAAAAATATCAGGGTTGATGTTAAGACATATCCATGTGTATCTGGAGTTATATTCAGGGATATGATAGAAATGATATTGAGAGATGTTGAGAATGTTGAGGTTTTCCAGAAGCAAACAAAATATTAGAGACGATGTAGAGAAGTGACAGATCTGAGGTTGAAAAGATAATATTGAGAGATGCCCGAGATGACGTTGAATATAGCATATCGAAAAGATATTGAGGAATAGCAAGGACAATGTTAAGAAATCGCCGAGACGATATTTGGAGTGCGACTAGGTTATTGGTCTATGACCAGGAGGATGTTGAAAGATGGGTTGAGTTGGGTTAGGTTGCTGGAGGTAACAGGTATGATATTAAGAGACGTCGATCCGATGCGTTCGGGATGATACTCAGGGATGAGCTAGGTGATGTTGAGGTATTCCAAGAATTATATTGAGGGAAGTTTAGATCATATGGAATGTCCAGACTATATTTACGGATGCCATTTGCCAACGATAATGTTGAATGATATTTGCAACGATGAAGAGGCGTGATAGAGCTAACAGAGACGACGTTGAAAGGTGTGTGACATAAATATTGAGAAATATCAGATGATATTGGAAAATTGACGAGTGCTAGGGATGATATTTCCAAGACGACGTTGAGAGAGGTCAGGCATGGCATTGAGAGTCTGTTTTGATTCAAGTAATTTATTAAATTGAGAAAAAAATTGAGACTCTAATTTTTTTCTCTATCATATGTGATAGTGTGTGGAATACCGATTCTGGAAAAGTACTAATGCATGAGAGTAATAACGATTGTGTTTGCTGACATATTTTTTACAGGGAAAGCTTCTGATCAGCGTGTAAAGCGTTCTATTACGGTCAGAATGTTAGTAACCTAGCGAAGGTGGAAAAGAGCCAATAGGATCTAAATGAATACGCTCAAATCTACCTACCTATCGAAACTGTAAATTTTTGAACCGGTGATCTTTTCTGTTTGTGTATTTTTGATTTTTGACAACAAAGGCAAGATTTTCTCCAAAAATAGCCGCGAATGAAGAGTAGAATAGAGTGAGTCGCATGAATCCCTGAATGAGAAATGTTGTGAAATGTATCGAAGATAGTACGACGGACTTTTTCGTGGATTGAATTCTAGGACAAAATATGAGTACATAAATAATAATTTTTACATGGTTACATTTCATAATGAAGGTTGACTATGGTGCTTGCCGTTACAGAAACTATTTAGGAATAATTTTGGGGCAGGCCAGACACCGAAGAATACCGAAGGAATGTCAAGGAATATCAAGGAATGTCGAGTTGATGTGGAAGTATACCAGAGTCAATTTTGAACGATGTTTGATGCAAGGATTGGCAAGGATGATATTGCGAGATATTCCGAACAACAAACATTATTGAGGGATATCCGGAATAATGTCTCTACATTGTGTGTGAGAAACGATATAGAAGAATGTCCGAGACGATGTTGAAAAGTGCCTATGATAATTTTATTGGGTGTTATAATAGGAAGTACTGGGGGATCATTCAGATTATGTTATGATGTACGAAAGATGACACTAATATATAGGGAATCATCCCTCAATATATAGGGAACATCCCTCCCTATATATTGAGGGATGTTCCCTATATATTATATATTGAGGGATGATTCCCTATATATTGAGGGATGTTCTATATGATATTGAAAGATATCAAATGAGATATTGAGGATGTCCGGTACGATGATAAAGGTTGACAGAGACAATATTCAGGTATATTTGGACCGATGTAATGGGGCGACAGCGAGGATGTTTACGAGGATGTTGAAAGATGTTCGAGATGATATTGGTGAATCACAGGGGCAAATTTTAGAGTTGTCAAAACCCATTTTGAGGGATGTTTGAGATTATATTAAGAGGTGATTGGAATGATATTGAGAGATACCCTACACGATGATAAGATATGTTAGAGATCATATTGACGCATGTTAGGGATATTAAGTGATGTCTGAGACGCAGTTCAAGGGTGTTAGGGACGATATTGATGGTTAGCTGAAGTGATATTAAAGAATAACAGAGTCGATATTGAGAGAGGCAAGAAACCACACTGAAAATATTTACGAATGATAGTGAGGGAGAACACATACGATGAGGAGTGATATCAGATAGTTAAGGGTTATCAGAGACAACATTGAGGAATATTTGGGATAATGTAGAGGATGGTAGGAATTAATATCATATGAATAGTATTGGAAATTCTAAGTAATTTTCCTAAAATTCTTGAAGATCGTTTATGTATTTCAAGAAATCCCTAGAAATTGTTAGAAATCTCTGAATGTCTTTGGAATACCATATAAAATCATATCTTTAAAAAACCCTTGAAAATCTTTTAATAATTTCTATAAATTCCTGGAAGTACCTATATATCTTAAAATTTTCTTGAACATTTTTCAAAAATATTTTGGGAACCTTAAAAATATCTGAATATCTTTAGAAATCCCTAAATATTCTTTGTGATTTTAAGTAATTTCCTTTGAAGATCATGGCAGTTATTTGTAAATTTCTAGAAATGCCTAAAAATCCCTGAAAATTGTTGGAATAGCCCCTATTCCAACAATTTTTCATCTTTGGAAATACCTATGAAACATCAACAAATGCCTTGAAGTTGGCATACATTTCTGGTATCTTTACGAATTCCTAAATATTTCTGGAAAATTTTATAAAATCATTATAAATTGAAAATATTTTATTCATCCCTGGTTATTTCTGGAAGTACTTGATTAACTTTGAAAATCCTGAAAGATTATCCAGAAAAGTCGTAAGCTCATCGTGACATTAACATTGACAGCACCATTTCAACCATTCTACTTTGAAAAGTATCTTGGGCAATATTCAAAGTTGTAAGAGATGATATTGATAGATGTTTGGAATGATGTTAAGGTATGTCACGGACGATATTAAGGATCGTTCGAGATAACGTCGGGGAATCTTGTTAATACTGTTACTTTTTTGCCACAAAAGATGTTGTTAATAACATCAAGTTTAGCGTTCCATTGCATATGAATTTATATTTGCAAACATCTTTTTTTATGGGCAACGTATTTTATTGTAAGTACCTGCACCGATGAATATACGGATTATGTTATTAAAGATTTTGTGCATTTGCAAAATGAAGCAGTTTGTTGAGATTTACAATCTGGTACTAGTATAGAAACAAGTTTATGAACGAAAACAAAATTAAAAACGATTATGACATATACTTTAACAATTATGTTAACTAAATCAAAAATATTTACAAGCTGAATTTGTATATAAGTAAAAATTTTGTTTATTTAAAACACAAGTATTCATTAATTTACTAACATTATACGATATAAGATAAAAATAAAATTGAGAAACATAATTATTATGAATTATTAATTAGTAGTTAAAACTTTAAAGGATCATTAAGGACGAGGTTTTAACTTTTCTTAATTTAAAAACCAAATTTGCAGTGTACTCAACTTAATAACTTATTTTAACAGTGCTGAGAGTATATTTCGTTTGGAAATAACGTGTTATTGCGGAAACTTAACGCTCGGTTCGTTTTGCCCTTGATATTCGTATACATAACCAATGAAATTTTTTATGTTTATAGTCTTTACCTTCAACAAATATAATTACTTTCCAACTAATTGTAAGATGATATAATATTATTATGCTTCTATTTAGACGACGCTACTCTAGCAAGCAGAACTCTAAGACAAACTGCGTTTTGCCCATCAAACTCTCAATGTGTTCCAATATCTTCTTGCCCAATTCTTCGAGATGTTCTTAACAGCGAGTGTGTAATAAGTAGCAGGTAAAATTAGTTAATTTTTTTTTTTGATATTACTTTTACTTTAATAATTTTATATAGGATCGGAAAATTAGGTTGTGGTTTTCAAGGATCGGGTTTAGTTTGTTGCCCATCTTACGACGATTCAAATAATAACATTGCTCAAGATAGAAGAGACAAAGCAAACACCAAATGTGGTCAATCATCTATTCAGGGAGAATACAATTACGATGGAATTGGAGCTTATCCTTTTGTTGCTCGGGTGGGATTTAGAAGTAAATTAAAAATTTTTAATGTGAAATATTAAAAACTAATCCCCGATAATCTGTTTTTAATAGATTCAATAAACGGAGAAATAAAATATCCTTGTACGGGATCGATTATAAGTAACAGAGTGATTTTAACAGCAGCTCATTGTGCTTTAGCGAAAGCAACAAATTTCAAATTGTAAGTAATAAAAAATGATTTAAAAGTTTAATAATTTTCATTTTTAAATAGATACAGTGTTCGCGTAGGTGAATATTTAACGAACACCGATATCGATTGTGGCGAAGAATTTTGTGGTTTACCGGCGAAAGATGTCGGAATAAGCCACGTAGTTGTCCATCCAGGATATCAAAAGGACACCTATCAACACAACATTGCCCTTTTAGTTTTGAGACAAAACCTTAACTATACGGGTGAGTGGTCATAATGTGATCGAACCGATTCAATAAAACCGAATCGAATCGATAATGTTCATTTGTGATTTGAATAATTCTTTCCACAGTTACCACACAACCGATATGCTTACCGGAAACATGGTTAGAACCTACCAACAATAACGTTTTAGTTGGATGGGGAAAAGCAGCCGGACAACGTGGTATGTGTATTCATTTATTTATAAGGTATAAATTGCTGGTATAAACTCTTAAAAGATACTATTATCGATTGATTTTTAAAAGGATTTAATTTGAATACATTTAAATTGTTATGATAGACGTTTTTGAATCAGAAAGGTTTTTATTTTATTATAGCAAATAACACAATTTTATTATTTTTGGCCTTGATCTTTGATATCTATTTCGTTATTCATCGTTAAAGGTGACTCATTTTAATTATTTGTTCATTTCGGGTTAATTTTTTCTAAAAGAGTAGTTAATTTAATATAATATTTATGAAATAACAGAAATATTAAGTAAACAAATATTCGGTCGAAATATTTTCATATTGTTATTTCATCACTAAATAAATGATTACAACTTCTGCAATACCTTTGATATTCCTGATCATCTTTACATTATCAATGAAATTCTTAGGCATCTTATGAAATCGTGAAATTTTCCTCAAAGTCTTTTGGGAACTTTTTGAAATGTTTGAAATTGTTCTAGAAAACATAAATGTTCTGAAAATGATCCATGGAAATTTTTCAAAAGCTTAGAAATCCATGAAAATCTTCCAAAGACAACTAGAAATCCATAAAAAGTCCCGAATATCCTTGAGAAGCAGTAGTAATCGTTAGAAACTTTTAGACACGAGAAATTTGGAACGATGTAATAATAACTTAGATATGCTACTAAGTGTTCTTGAAATCTATTGAAAGCTTCTGTTAAGCTTTGGAATTTCCTAGAAATCTCAGGGAATCGATAAAAAGCGATAAATATTTTTGGAAAAGGTTACAGAACTTCTTGAAATCTTTAAAAATCTCTGAAGTCTTTCCAGAAGTTTCTAGAAATGCCTGACTATCTCTGAAAACACATGATAATTTTTCCTAAATGCTTGGAGATCCTTGAAAATAGCTAGATATCTTCAGAAATCCCAATGTACTCTTGAAAATTCTAAGTAACTGTCTTAAAATTCTTGAAGATCGTTTACAAATTTCAATAAATGCCTACAAGTCCCTAGAACACGTCCTTGAAAATGTTAAAAAATCTTTTAAAACTCTCTTTGAATCCTTAAACATTTTTCAAAAATTATTTTGGGAACCATAAAAATATCTGGATATCTTGAGAAATCCCTAAATATTCTTTGGAATTCTCAGCAATATCCTTGAGGTTCATAAAAGTTATTTGTAAATTTTTAGAAATGTTTAAAAATCCCTAAATATTGTTGGAATACAGAGGATGTCTTTGTACATACCTACTAAACAATGACTTGATACCAATATAAATTTCTAATATCTTTACGAATCCCTAAAAATTTTTGGAAAATCTTTTTTTAAGTCATTTAAAATTCTTGTATTCCTTTGCAAATCTTGAGAATAACAAGAAATTCTCTTGAAACCTTGGAAAATGTTTTATTTAACTTTGGTTATTTCTGGAAGTACTTGATTATCTTTGACAATCCTTAAAGATTATCCACAAAAGCTTTAAGAACTTTAAAAATACCTGAATAGCTTTAGAAATCCCTAAGTAATATTTGAAAGCCTAAGTAATTTCCTTGAAGTTCTTGAAAATTATTTGTAAGTGTCCAGGATTGTTTAAAACTTCCTAAAAATTTATTGAAAATTCGCTGAACGTCTTTGGAAACACATACAAATCATCAGAAAATGCTTTGAAGTCCGTATAAATTGCTAGTATCCTTACAAATCTCATCTCTATTTTGTTCATTTCCAGTTATTTTATGTACTAGAATTACTAGAAGAGCTTTGAAATCATGCAGCTAATCTTCAGCTGTCACTCTGTTACACCATGTTAAGCTAGGCTATTTAATCTGTAAACAAGATCCTTAAGAATGCTTGAATATCTTTAGAAATCCTTAAATATTATCTCTTATAATCCTTGAAAATTAATCGTAAGTTCTAAGAATTTGTAAATATCTAGAATTTGTTAGAACTCTCTTAGATGTCATTGGATATATTTTTATAAACTTTCTGTTATTTTTATAAATCCCTGAGTATAATCTTTTAAAATCCTTAGAAATTTTGATATTCTATTGGAACGCAGTAAATACTGATGACAAACTGGAGATATTCTCTTAAAAACCTTGAAAATATCTTGTTGATCTCCAAAAATATCAGGAAATGCCTAAATATCATTGAAAATTATTAAATATTTTCTAGAAATGTCTTGAGATCGTCATGAACAGCATATATACAGCATATATATCTTTAGAAATCCCTAAATATTATTGGAAATTCTAAGTAATTTTTTAAAATTCGTGAAAATCGTTTATATATTTCAAGAAATGCCTAGAAAACCCTAGAAATTATTAGAAATCTCTGAATGTCTTTGGAATACCATATAAAATCCTCGCAGTCTTAGAAATTTCTCCATATCTTTACAAAACCCTTGAAAATCTTTTAATTATTTCTAGAAATTCCTGGAAGTACCTGAATATCCTAGTATATTCTTGAACATTTTTCAAAAATATTTTGTGAACTTTAAAAATATCTGGATATCTTTAGAAATCCCTAAATATTCTTTGGAATTCTAAGTAATTTCCTGAAAGTTCATGGCAGTTATTTCTAAATTTCCAGAAATGCCTAAAAATCCCTGAAAAATGTTGGAATGGAGGGGCTATCTTTGGAAATACCTACGAAACATCAAGAAATGTCTTGAAGTCGATATACATTTCTGGTATCTTTACGAATCCCTAAATATTTCTGGAAATTCTTATAAAATCATTATAAATTGAAAATATTTTATTAATCTCTGGTTATTTCTGGAAGTACTTGATTATCTTTGAAAATCCTGAAAGATTATCTAGAAAAGTCGTAAGCTCATCGTGAAAGTCGAGTTCGCTTGCGGGCGATGTATAGCAACATTAACATTGACAGTATCACATCAACCATTTGGGAAATAGAATTTTACAACTTAAGGCCGAGGTCGCTTATGACCGAGGCCCTGTAATCTCATAGTTGAAACTTTCGTGGCTACACGTTAATACTTACTGTATCACTCAAAAAGGTGATGTGCATACCTCAGCAATAACATTTATGTGTAATGTATCGAGGTCACTTGCGAGCAACTGTCGTAGATCGTCAACTAAAAATGCTTGTACTTAGTTGAAACTCACAGTCTTAAGGTTATCGTCCAAGATCGTTTGCAGACGATACTTTTCAATATTGACAATTATTGATAGCAACCCATCAACCATAGAAAAGATAAAATTTATGTGTAATACCCTGAAGTCGCTTGCGGGCTAAGTCAGCTAAAAATACTTGTAATCAAATCTGACAGTCTTAAACTCATCGTCAATTGGCAGTGATGCAAGATGGGAAAGATTTGTGTTCTTTATAACTATTGGGTTGGTGAATAAGTTCATTTTGTTTTTAAAAAAAGTGTTTTATTGATCAAAACACCATAATTATAACAAAAAATCCATCAATATTGTATTCTCCGTTATTGGCTACTACCAATAACGGAGAATAGGAGCCTACTACCTGCTCCCGCCTTTCGATTAATTTGTTGATTCCGTTTCGCCAGAAATCACCCAGTCTGGTTTCGAAACAGTTATTGAGTCAGCTTTCGAGTACCTTTTTGTTGTCGAAGATAGGGCCTCTCGTTTGGTTTAATAGGCAGGGAAAAAGATGGTAATCCGTTGGCGCAAGGTCCAGAGAGTACGTCGGATGCTGAAGAACCTCCCATTCTAGCTTTTGGAGTGTGACTTTGACGACTTTTGCAACGTGGTTCCTGGCATTGTTGTGAAGCAATATGTTTTGGCCTTGTCGATTGGGTTTCTTCAGTTGAATTGCTTTATTTACACGGTGCTTTAAGCAATATAGAGTTCCTTGTTCTTCTCGAGCATCTCCTAATGCACCATACCCTCCCAGTCCCATCATATACAAATCATGGTCTTCTGTGGGTGGAGGTCCTGCTTGACTCTCGACTTCGGCATATCTCCTGGGACCACCCAGTCTTTTCTTTGTTTCATATTGACGTATAAGCCATTTTCATCTCTTTTTTACCATTTCTCATCTCCCGTGACGATTTGGTACAAAAACGATGCTTGTGCCCACGTGTTGCTCGGTGATGAGAGAGATGTTGCAATTTGAAGGCCAGTTTCTTTATTGTTTTTGGTAAGCTCGTGAGGTATCCAAGTTCTAAATTTTTGAACAAATCCCATTGAGTGAAGATTCGGTAATTTACGATTTGTAAAATAAAACCGAACGATTCACTAACCCAATATGTTACTCTATATTATATAGATAAATTTAATCGTTTGTTGAAGATTGGACGAGACCAGCAATTTAATAACAAAACTTAATTAGATGCATAAGACTTTTTTACACTAAAACAGAAAATATAATTTACATTTAACACATCGTTTTAGATACTCCACCTAGACAACAATCCATAAGAGTGCCAATAGTTAACTTACAGCAATGTAAAAACGTTTATGGGAATACTTTACCGATATCGGACGATCAATTATGTGCTGGAGGAGATGCGGGAAAGGACGCTTGTAGCGGTTTCGGAGGTGCTCCCTTGCTAACGAGATCAGGAGATAGCCATTACCAGGTAAAACCGGTAATCGGGTCGTTAATGGGTTTTTACGTACTTTTGATAACAAGATTACTTCACCCTTTTCCTTTTCCAGGTCGGAATTCTCTCGTTTGGTTCCGATCAGTGTGGAGCTCCTGGAGTACCGAGTGTTTACGTAGATGTTAGAAAATATTCTCAATGGATAAAAGAAAATATTCCACTTTCTTATAATTGATTTTTTTTAAACACTTTGATATTTAAGAATATTTAGGAATTTAGAAATAAATAAAAAAAACGTTTTTATTCTAATAAATTTATTATTAATTTTAAAGTACTATTAAAAGGATCAAATTTAATGCGTCTTATTAACTATATTAAATGACTGCCTTTTTATTTATGTACAATTAATTATATCAACAAGAACTATAGCAACATGAGAATGATAGAAATAATGGTATTATTTGAAAGGTGTTCTTATTCCGTGGAAATTTCAAGGACATCATGGTGCTTTAGAAAAATACGAGATCCGCACCTCTTATAATGAATAGTTTACCCCAGAAGTGGGAGCACAAGACGAAAGTATCACAATGTACATGAAAAATAAAACGAATATTGAGAAAAGGCAACTTTTATCCTTCTATTTCTTTGTATCAAGTAACTTTTTAACAAGATTTTCATCTCAATAGTGTCTAATACCACCCTTAAAAATTTAATTTTTTTAATTTATAATATATTTTTAATCTCTCGTATCATTTGTTTTTCGTATTATGACGAAAAACTTACTTAAATCACTTCCTGCGTTTTTCTTTATAACAAGTTTATCACTTCTTTTTTTTTAACAACGACCAAAGGTTTAATAACAACGAAATTTCGAAACGTTACTTAAAAAGTTTTAAACTCCGGCCTTGTTAGAAATCTTTTCAAGTACATTTTTAAACTTCGTCGATTAGCATCTTTGGTCTATACAACATTTAGTTGGACCCAAGTTTTTAGAGCAACATCAAAAGGATAAATAATTTTGTTTTGTATATATTTTCTTTTGGGAAAATAAAGTGAATAAGAAACGACAAAAGTGATTTCGTATAAGAAGATAAAATGTAAGCGAAATGTTTTAGAACCTCAAAATGTTTAATAATTATAATTAATTTTATGATTTTTTTTTGTTGTTGATAATAACGTTTCTATTCTAATTCAGTACTACGAATAAATTACTTTTTTAAATACTTGGTCTGGCGTTATTACTAGCTAATTTATTAATAATTAATTATTCACAATATAGCTATGATTTTACGCAATTATCTTTTTTCTTTGACTTCGTCCATTTAAATTAATTAATTTTTTTAGACGTTATCGGAAGAAAAGAGGTATATTTAGACGTTTTTTGGAGGTTGCGGAAATGAATTAACAATAAAAGCGTTAAAAGCCTTTCCCTATTTATTTTTTTTTACTTTTTTTTAAGTAAATTACACTCAATTCGTGCAGTAGTAATAACAATTGCAAATGCTATTTAATGAATAATTTTTAAGTGAATAAATTTGATAATGCAAAAATCTAAAGTTCATTGTGTTTGAATTAGTAATTTAATAAAATCATTTTCGCAACCACCAGCTTCCATAATATATAATATATACAAATATTGCTCTGTTATGATTATTTTGAACGTTAATACCTGGAGCGATACGAGGATATGATGTATACATTTCTTTTTAACGAGATTTTAAACAACGTTTGGCACTTTCATCACTATCATACTTGATGATAATTTTGTTACTTCCCTGTTTTCCATGTTTTAATCTTTCCATCAACTCAAATTCAATACTGATTTGATGCGAATGCGATTTACAACGTTATTAATGAAGATGAAGTTTTTTTCGTAATTAAAAGTTTATTCAATGTCGTTTCGAAGGCCCGTTTTCATTTCCGGTGGAACTTGTTTTCGGAAGCAGTCGTCAAGAAATTGACCCATACTTTTATACAAATGACGTTTTACTCCTCCCAAACCATGACTTTCATCAGGATAAATCTAAAAGAAAATTTTAATTTACCACAAACAATATAATTATGTATTTTCATTTCTATCATAATGATTATTTGCCTCGGCTTTAATCAAAGTGGGAAGTCTATGATTTTATCTGATTAAACCGAGGTTGCTTATGGTCGAGATTCAATGATTAATATTATATCAACCTGAAACTGGTCATCATATTGTGGGGTCTCGGCATTGTCAGGTAAAGTTATAGATCAAAAAAAGAAAAACAAGGGTATTGCAGAGTTTTTGTCGAACACTGTATATTTTAATAATTAATAATTATTAATATAATATATAATTAAAAGTTAAAAGAGAGAAATCTCCTTGCTCCTGGAACTACCTTCTCTTGTTCCAACTCATTAAGTCATTTTAAAATTTCCCTAACTTATAATGGAAAAATCGTACAACACCATTCGAGAGTGTATTTTGAAGGGCAAGGATAGTACTATATGATGAAATAGATAGAATACAGCAAAATAATATTATGCGTCTCACACATAGCTTCAAAAGTAGCAAGAAAAGCCATTTTTCTTGTACATATCCTCAAATATCTCAAAATCCTGACATGATGGTCAAATTCTGAGCTCGGATTCTGATTTGCATCTAACAACAATGAACACCCCCTCGGATTTGGCTTTCACGCAGAAAAATACTTCGTAAATGATCACCAGCCATACAACAACAATCAACACCCCTTTTTTGCAGATCTGTGTAATATATTTTTGGAAACCCAAGCTTAGAAACCATAAAGTCAGAATTGAATGCGCGAATGTTGATGATTATTGTATCGATCACCACGATTATCTCCTGACTTAGAAAGCTTGTAAAAGTATTCATTGGTAATATTCACCAATTTATTGTGTATAATTAAGGAAAAGTAAATTATGACAAATTTAGTTGCTAGATCAAAAACATCAAAAGGAAGAAAGTTAGTCATATGCCGGCTTAGGGATTGATATTGGTGGATCGAAATCAATCTTAACAGCGTTGTCTATTTGGCTCGAGTAGATAATTTTTCATGAAATCGATGTGAAAAGATCGCGTTGAAGATCCATTCCAATAAGAGATGGGAACTGCTTTCTCTTCTAATATATATTCCAGAATGGTGTCCCAGGGTTATCGCATCAATTTCGAACTGAAGTGACAAATAAAATTTATGACCCAAGCATGGTGACATAAAAAAGAAAAGTTGTGGCCATCATGGATGGTCATGGACTACAGATGTCAACCTACAATAATCAGATAGTTATCAGCCATAAGAAGACGTAATGAAAATGTGACGATGTTGTTGAGTAATAATGTAATGAGAACTCTGATTGCAATAAAAATTTGTGCTAGCTCATTTAGCGTTTCTGTTTTCAAAATTTAATCCCAATATCGACAAACTTATTGGCTCACCCAAAAAAATATACAACTACACGCAATACAAGATATATATGCAATAATTCTAGTGCTCTATGCTACTCTAGGTTCTAATGCAGGCGCATCCTATTATAATGTGACCATTACGGAAATTGTATAGAATGTTTTTTTGTGTTTGTTATGTTTACGTTACACTTAAAGGGGCAACTAAAGCATGTTTGCATGCGAGCAAATATGAAATGAAAATGATGGAACACACGGTTCAAATTTACTTGTCAGTTTTTGTATCAGTTTCATAGTGAGTTGCGACTTGTTATCTATAATGAATACTAATACGGCGACATGATTTGTATTTAATTGCTACTGCTATCGCAATAGTAGTGAAGAAGAAGAAAGAAAGGAAGAAATCAAAACGGGTAAAAATTGTCTGAAAAAACGGAAACAGTATTCTCCAGTATCCAATATCTCCACTATAGGAATTATTTGCGCATGGATGTAAAATATGTCCGAGAACGTTTTATAAGGTACTTTATTAATGATGGGCGCATGCATTGGCAACATGATCGTGTTACATATGAAGAATAGTGGAATGTTAATTTTGAAAATGCACTTATATCACACTGTTTCGTTATCATGCATAGTGTCCTTATGTATTTTAACCCTACTGAACGAATAAATAAAATAGATAAAGTAGATAATAGATAAATTTCTATTCTATTCTAATATTGTGAATAATATTGCCCGGTTGATAATGGGGTGCCTAGTTGAGAATCGACAGTTTGAAAATTGTAGAATGTCTGATATTTGCTTAAAAACTTCCACTACCAGCCTTCCATCCTTTTTATTTCTATCCACGTATCCACTACTTTTCACTTTCGAAAGACAAGTATCTATTTCTTTGGTATATACTTATAAATTCACGCATAACGTCTTCTTGCTTACGAACAGCCATTTCGTAAACAAATTTGAATAACACGCATGCGAAGATACAAGTTTGCACGCGACGGGCCGTGCAAAATCAAACTCAGCCAGATCTTATCGTGCCATGCCTAGACCTGACAGCGCCATCGGTTTTGCGGCATAGGAGATCACATTTGCTCGGGTGCATTAACTTTGCGTGCAAATATGACAGTTTTGCATCACAGTGTATGGGCCGGTTAAGTCAAGACAGAGTTGAGTTATATAACCACGCCCTTGTACTTCGGACCTCTAACAATAAAACACTGATGTATTCAACATGAACCAGACCAGAAATGGCACTTGAGTTATATAACTACTCTACACTCTTAGAAACTGATCTTTTTACACAAAAAACCCAATAAGACTGTGTATTATTGAGACCGAGCGATAAAACAGCTCAATGCCGAAAATCCCCTAGAAGACGAATAGTGTAAGATTAGAATAAGAAAAGAGTCTAAAGAAACAGTCATTCTAAACAACAAAAAGAAATTTGTATTTGTATTTCTTGACGTTAACTCGGACGACATCCGAAAACTTCGGCTGCACATTACACTATACCACTCTAAACTTGCGGTTGGTGTTGAACGGTTTTGTATTACCCTTACAAAATGTGGCCTATATGATTATAACTTAAAGCTCTGATTCTGCAGTAAATCGTTTGAAAGGTTATAGGACGACTTTCGTTGTAGGATAATCGGTCTCTTGTTACCATAAGTTGAAGAGTCTTTTCTTCTCAGTTCCTCTTATACGACATTTCTGACCATCCCTAGTCCATCCCTGATAGCAGCGCATGATTTCGAAAATCAACAACAATATAAAAGTAACCACTGTAATATCCAATTTTAACTTCCAAATCATTAACCTAGATATAGGCAATCTCCTACCAACCCAACTCAACCGAACCAATTTTGCAACCGTACATACCCAAGCTCTCGGACTGGCCAATATCAAAAATTTCCCATAAAAAAACTGCGTAATTGGGTGACAAACTTTAGACAAACAAGTAGTGCATTAAAACGTAAATCTACTGGAAAATGTGGCTACTGTGAGAGCTTCGGTTAATCAATTTCCACAGCATTCTGCACGGAAACATGCGGCTGCTCTACGGTTATTGGATCAAAGTATTCGGAGAATTTTGCACGGAGAACTGAAAATCCATCCTTACAAAATTGCAATTGCACAAGAACTGAACGAAAGAGGTAATGAAACCCGTACAGTTTGTGTCAAGAACTTAAAAACACTCCTCGCCGCAATGTTGAGCTCTTTTCTAATAAAACCCATTTTTTCACAAAATTTCAGATATTGGGCAGACCCTCGGCACCCTCACCAACGACCACTACATACAGTGTGGTGTGCTGTGTTTGAGTTTGGTGTGTGGGATCCGTACTTTTTTGAAGAAAACGGTATTACTGTAATGGTAATCTCCTATGGATATTGTGCACTACTCGAGAATTTTCTCAGGCCTAGATTGGGTGATCTTTGTGAAGAATATGGACAGGAGAATGTATGATTCCAACAAGATGGTGCGACATCCCTCACATCTCGTCGAACCCTCGGGATTTTAAGAGAAAAATTTTCTGGACGTCTTATTTTCTTGCATTCTCCCGATTTAACTCTATTTATGCCAATGAAGGTCGTCATCATTAAAGTGATGTTATTTTTAAAGCAGGTCAATCAAAAACTAGACTATGTATACTTTCTAGAAATAAAAACATTTTTCTTGTATCTTGCTTGGTTTGACTTTTATGAGCTTACCAAATCGGGGAGGCCATTCTGCCGCACCCTGTATATACTAAGTGGTATGGGAATTGCTAAGAAGGGGTAAAATTTTCAAACTTGGCAGAAACGCTCAACTAATAAAGCGCTTTCCCGATGTTTTCGTTGCATCGCTTGTAACAGATGGTCAACTTTCTCTTGAAATGTTGTATTCATAGCAGTCTATAGTGCTGTAGAGTTTGTGGAAGATGCAGCATGTTATTATTATTATTAGTTCTACCATCTCAGTCACATTTTGCTGGGCGTTCATATTGGTTTTGATCTAATCGAAATCGAACGAGACCTACTTCATAACATATAGCACCTCATACCTTAGTGTCCACAATTAGCTGCATATGTTTCGTAACAGAAAATTTGCTGTCTTCTTCTGATCCTGATACGACCATCATGAATCTTCAAAGATTCATCCTTATGTCACTCTAAGTTCCAGTGCGGTCGCAAACTACACCACTCCAAATTGAGATAAGTAATCAAAGAAAAGAAAAGAAAACAAATTGATACAAAGCTATCCTCACCAGAACCAGCAACACAAAAACTCGTAGGCAACATTACCCCATAGAGCATAATTATTGTCGGCAATATTAAAGTCAACCTAAGGTCACCAGCTAGCTAATTGAAGCTAACTTAACCCAAACCATGTTCACTAAACCAACATCTTGGCAACTTCGGAAATGTCCTTCATCTATGTAACAATCTTAATAGAATATTTTTAAGACAAAGAAATTAAGGAAATACGATTTTGAAAATATTTAGGTGGTGTTAAGATTTAGCTTAACCTAAGTAATAGTTTATAATTTGCTATATTTTGTGTAAAATAAATTTCAATCGAAAATCGTAATTAACGTAATTGGCGTTCTACTCTACTTGACACGAAACCGTACCTGTTGCCTAAAAAGAGTTCCTGCTTCCGCTAGCGCTTTAACTAAGGCCATGGATTGTTGAAGGTGTACGTTATCATCCGCCGTACCATGCACCAAATAAAACATTTTATCTTTTAGTTGTTCCGCCTTTTTACTCACGTCGGCTTCATCATAACCTTTATAATTATCAGTTACGTTAGGAAATCCCATATAACGTTCGGTATACGCCGAATCTAAACAGCACACATAAATAAAAAAATATCTATATGATTAATTTTTTACCGTATAATTTCCAATTTGTTACTGGAGCTACCGCAATGGCACAATGAAAAACATTTCTAGGACTGGCTAGTGCAAGGGCAGCCACGAAACCTCCATAGCTCCATCCCCAAACAGCGACTCTCCGTTTGTCAATATAGTGCAGGGTGTCTTTCAAATACCTGAAAATCAAATATCTCCCAACTAAATTCGAACTATTTCAATCAATATAGGGAACTTACTCGGTGACTTCCAGCTGATCAGCAACTTCCACGGAACCCAATTTGTAATAAACTTTATGTAGTAATTCATGTCCCTGGCCGCCGGAACCCCTCCCGTCAATCTGAGCAATTATAAAATCTTTATTACCAGCCAAATAGGTGTTCCAATCGATTCTCCATCGTTCGGTAACTAATTGACTTCCCGGACCTCCATACACTTGAACCACTAAAGGATAACGTGTGATTTCTTCTTCCCTTAGTCCCGGAGGTAAATGTAATCGAACATGAGCTTGAAAACCACCTGATATTCGAACGGGAAATGTTTTTATTTGCGGGAGAGCCATTTTTTCTAAACGCTCTCTTAGCAAACTATTATTTTGTAACACCATTAACAATTTTGGTGTTGGAATAGTTGCTTGATACAAACTACTCGTCGGAACTCCCGGCCCTAAACATTCCAAAACGTAATGACTGGACGAAATTGGGTTGAAAATAGCGTTGTGGAATAAACAAGGTCTTTCTATTCTCACTTCTTTTGGTTTTTTTCTTCTTCTTCTTGGAGTTGGGGTGGTGTATTCATCGGCATCTTCACCTTCCGGCCATTCTTCTGATTTGGGTCGATTTTTTACGGCGAATTCATGATCGTAAAAATAAAACGGTGGTTCTGTGGGTGTAGGTTCTGCCACACACGTTAAACAAATTGGTTGTTGAAGTGGTGCGCCGTGCCTAGGAGGCATTGAGGCTACTCTGTAAAGGTGTTGTTGACCTGGTTTTCCTTCGGGTATTCCGAGAAAATAACTGTAGAATGCTCGTAATAATTATAAATTGTAACTTGGATTTTAAAACGTAATTAAAACTCACATTACATCGTTTTGTCGATCCCAAGCTAAGATTCTGGATACTTCGAATCTTCCGTGCGTTAAAGGTGCCACCCTCCTCTTAGGGATATTAACAGATATTGCATGTCTAAAATATCCTGCTGGTCCGTCTCTGACTGGCGCAACCGTGATGTAGTTGGTACTATCACTTCCAAATAGAGGACTGTCGCCCATATCAACCCATCCTTTTCCATCACCTGACACCCTTTGAGTCTACATGAATAAAAATGAGGTTGTAAAAATAGTACGAGGAATTCCTAAAATTTTCATTTGCATGTCGCCGAAATCTTTATCACACTAAACACGTAAGATTTTATGCCTAATTTATTCGTAGTAATTGTAAAGTAGTATGTTTCGTGCATGGCATTTTGTGTTCGCGATGTAATCGCCAAGTTAATTACGGTAATCCATTTTAATAATACTCACTAACTTCTTCACTTTATGTGAAAATTAGGTACACTATTAAGATAACTAAAGTGATGAAGAAAAATGATAAAGTCAAAAAGAATGGCAAGATTGAATTTTTTATGACGACGATTCAATAGACAAAGGAAATGGGTCACATGTCGATTTAACCATGAAATCAATAGGTTATTCATGGATTGCCCGCTGTTGGAATATTATGTCTCCATTTATTAATAGCTTGTATTAATTGGTTACTTAACTTTAATCTTAATCCATAGCCTTAATCCAAGTTACGGTTATAATAAAATCTTTTGTATTCAAAATACGAACACTTAAATAGGGGTGTTCGAAAAGGGTGCGTAATCTAAACGTCGTTGATATCTAACGTAATTTCCATCTAACGGCTCTTGGCGTGTTTATTAGTCATAAATATTGAACGACCAGGGTTGTAATCCTTTTATTCCAAGTATACAGGCGTGTACCTTTCTATCGGGAGATTTGGAACTTTACTGTACGAGTTATATCGTAAATTTGAGTACCAAAGAGTAAATTTTTTTCGAATTTATTAACTTACCTCTTGACAATGCCACATCGGTGTTCTACAGACGGAAACGAGAGAAAAGTTTTGAGCCCTATTTAACCAAACCACAGAAATTTCAGTCGAACTAATCCACGAAACAGCAGTGAAGTAATACTCCCTAAAAACAAAGTAACCAAAGCGCTACAATTTTATAGTTAAATTCATGAATAGTTTTTAAAACAATTTGCGTAAAAATGTTAATCAAAACTTTAAAGCACTAACTTGATAATAAGATGTTTAATTATGCACGGACGAACCTTGATATTGTTTTATAATCAGTTACGTACATGTTGTGAAGCGGAGACGGCGGCTTAACCTCTTTCATCCGGATGTTGTGGGGATCCGCAAGATCGGCCACGGTCAACTTGACCTGTGGATTTCTCGTCCCCGGCTTTGGGTACCTCAAAGATCGAATGTCCGGATATAATCTGCCTTCGTTTGGCGATCCATACCACGGAAACCGCAGTTCTTCGACCAGTGTGTCGTTGAAAGAGGCAAATACCAGCATATGGCCATCACTCGACATCCATATTGCGCTGTTAACGCCGAGGATCTCCTCTGCAAGCGAATATAGATTTGTGAGTCGAGTTTGGCATACCGATGTGGCTATTACAGGCGATTTTGCTAGGATAAGTGGAATCTGCAACGTTAGCACTTGAATACCAAGCGTTACAATATGAGTTTCAAATGTAGGGTATATGTAAAAGATTTTCTCATAATATATAAATTTATTATAATAACCTATTTAATTAATGTAATATTATTAATGGATGTTGTTGAGATTGAAAATTTATCGATATTTGTGGTTTGTGGGTAATGAGGTTCTATAATGTATTTCGAGAGAAATTGTATTAAATTATTACTATAATGAAATTAATTATAAACACATTATTTTAATTATTTGTTCGTTTGATGGATTCGAAGTTACATTATCTATAATCAGCTCATTGCGAAACTATAAAATTACGTGGTTGGAAATTTATCAAACTTATTTTATGAAAAGCGTTAGAGAAAATTTTAGAATTCATTTAGCTTATATTTTATTATAAATGAAAATTAATTTCGGTTCTTAAAACGAAGTTAAAAAATACTTAGTTCTCTTTTTACAATTTACAAATAATTTATTACTACTATCCATTCCAAAGGTCAAGGCTCCTCACTTTACAGATTGATATCTTCGAAACCGATCGATGAAAAAAATTGCGGTATAGTTTCTTGTAATCATTGGAGGGTTCCGTCCAAACAGAAAAGACTGTGTTCTAGACTGGACGTCGCGCCTTTATTTCTTTATGTAAGTAAATAAAGGCGCGGCGTCCTGTCTGGAATAGACACCAGCCGGATTGGATGCTTTCTTTTTAATTTATAATTAGCTTAAATAAAATTGTTCTAAAGGAATTAGAGAAACATAACTTTGAAAAACATATAACGGAATCCTGCAATTGCAATTATTTGATATACCTATTTTGTTGCGTAGAAATGTTTAGTGATTACATCAAACTTTACCGCAATTTTTTTCATCGAGCGGTTGCGAAGATATCAATCTCTAAAGTGAGGGGCTTAGACTTTTGACACGGATAGGAGTGAGTTGTACCTGAATAACAAGCAAAACGAATGAGGGCTAAGTGCATCAATATACGTTTTCCCAAGATTAACTTTTACTTACACTAAATTTAGTTCTGATACTATAAAGGTTGGTGAGGTTTAGTTTTTCTTCAATTTTGTAAGTGCCTTTGTATTATCCAGGAAGTGAATGGCTTCAACGCCTATTTCGACACATTTGCTAAGCATAAGCATTGGTAATCAATCTAAGAATTTTGTTTTGACTACTTCGAATGAACAATTCATTGGATTTCTTTAGTCGAAGTAGGCTTAATTATTAAGCCTATAATTCGTTTGTCTACTTCTGAGTCTAATCTAATTATGATGCTTCCAATTTAGTTTGCTATCAAAGTGGAGATCGCGATATTTTGTTGATTCTGCTTGAGGAATGGAGCATCCTCTAAGAGACACAGTTAGGCTGCTGTATTTTCAAATCTCTACTTCATTTATAAATTTTGCTGTCTGCTACTTGCAGTTTTTTCAACAACTGTGTCATCAGTAAAGTGCCAAGTACTGTATCTTTTGAAATTGAAATATCTACAGAATATAGTAGATAGAGTGGTCATAAGACAGTGTCTTTTGGAACCAGATCCAAGATCGGTTTGAATGTAGACTGTAGCACTCTAAACTCTCCTTGAGAAACATACGCTTGAAGCAACAAGTATGTCAACATGTTGATTTATTTTGCTTTTCTTGGCAGTTTCTTTTAATAAGTAATAATTGATGAAATTATTCAGTTATATATTAATTATTATTTACTTGCTTTCTTTTTACGGTCAATAACCCCGAGAGTAAGGTTAGTTTTGTTTACCAGTGTCAATGATCTGCGGGTAATAAGGTTGGGCGAGGTTATGGTTGTTGTTTAATGTTAGGTAGATAGGAAAAGATCAGTTTTGTTTAAGTTCTAAAGAGGTTAAATATCTGGGTATCACTCTAGTTAGCAAACTATCGTGGAAGTTACACCTAGATGATAGAGTAAAGAAAGCTAGCGTCGCGTTTGGCCAGTGCCGAAGGGCGATTGGGAAGACATAGGGTTTGAAACCTAAATCTGCCCTCTGGATCTACACAGCTGTGATACGACCTATGCTCACTTATGGTGCAGTACTATGGTGATCTAAAACCTTACAGGTTACCGCCACTACCGCACTAAATAGAATACAGAGACTTGCGTGTATGTATGTTCAATATGATTTTAAGCCTGAGGCGAAGGAGTCCAGCGGGTCCGGTACCTTATTATTGTCAGTGAGCCAATAAGTGGGTTCACCACTTGACTCATGATTACAGTTTGTGACATTAATAGCCGTCAGCAATTAATGTCACAAACCGTAAAACCGTTGTTGAGTCATTTAGCGACTTGGGGTTAATATGCAAGCATACTTGTATAACTATGGTAGTTTGCATTTCATGCTTTCTGATCTCTTCTCCTTGGAAGTGTTGTATATTATGTTTTATGATTAACGTTGTACCTCCTTGAGCACTTGGGTTCACTTGGATGAGTAGTCTGAACCTAACATGTTTGCTTGCTGCAGATTTCTTTTTTTAGTTCAACTTATTTGGTGCTTCTGTTTAAGCAGACGTGGATGCTCTTGCAGTTTCTTGTGTGTTATTATTACCAGTGGCAGATGGATTTACAGCTGGACTGGAGCTCTTTTAAATTGTAACCTTTGTTATTTGTAGTTTTCATTGGATCAACACATCTTGTTCATCTGCTGCAAAAGTTTTTTGTATGCCCTAAGCTGTTGGCATTTTGTGCATAAGAAATTACTATTATTCTTCTTAGGCGGTTTTACTATTATCGATAAGTTCTCTGATGTCAAAGATTTTCTCTTGAAAATAAACCTTTTTTCTCTATTTGTGCAAGAACTAAAATAAATTGATCTTTCTTGCTTCATTACAACTTTTTCCTCTTTCTGACAGCAACCTAGCAGCCATCTCATTCCAGCTCCATTTCGGCTTTCCTTTTTCCATGCCAATCTAAAGTCATTCTTTGACCGCATCTCCATCATGCAAGCTGTTTTTCTTCAACGTATTATAACACTGGCACAACATTTAATTTTTAAGAACATTAAAAGGTTTTTAACCCTTTCCTTCCTTCCTTTCTATGGTAATTATATGGCTACCACATAGTGGAATTAATTTGGGAACGAAAGGATTAATTAATTTATTTTTAGTCTTACTAGTTTCGGCACTCAGCCATTATCAGAAATTATGTGTTAAAAGATTAATAACATTTTAATTAAAATAACATGAAATTAGATTACAATCGTATAAAGTGACAGAGTGAATTGTATGATTATTGATACTAATTAAGCTAAATTAAGATTTATGATACCTTCATATAGCCAATCTGGAACACCATGACTAACCACACCAGGAACTGCAGTATTTGTAACTCTGTATCCAATATGTGAGAGTGGTGCCGGTCTGTAATAAATATCATAATTCTGAACCATAACTAGAGCTTCTCCTCGAGGAGCCCACATGGCGAGAAGCAAGAATGGATGTTCATCCACTTCAGGCGATGGTCGAAGTGGAAAGTCGTTTCTAAAATGCGTAAGAAATCGTAAAGGATCATAATATATAAATAAAATAAAATCATCTTACCCAGTCTGAATGTCGTATACCACATATTGAGCTAGGTAAGAGTGCCTGAATAATTTCTGTACGTTCTGCGCCAATAATAAGTACTTCTTATCGGGGGACAATTGGAATGTTACCGCGTTTAGTCGACTCTGAAAGTTTCCAAGTTTAATATGAAAATGGAAGCGTGGAAAGTAAATTTTTGAAATGTAGAAACTTTTACGTTTACTGTCCGGACACTACGGCCCCGGTTAAGGTAGAAATAGAAGTCGTAAAAATGAATATGTAAAGGAGTTCGTCTGTATTCGCCAGACGGCTTGGCTGCCTAGCGTCTGAAATGGGACCTTATTTAGGTCATCCAGCAAGCACCTGTTACACTCGGTGAAGTTTAAATCAATGATTAAACTGGTGGGATGTTTCAGTAAAGCGTTCGCCGAGTTCTCTCGGTTGCGAAAAGGTATTTTAAGCGAAAATACGAACTGATTGGATATATCAAAAACAACACAATATTCTTTTTGAATAAAAAAAATCATATAAGTATAAAGTGGTACAATTTATCGACAAAGAGCAATCTAATATAATGGATGTGATGTTTTATGTCCGAAAGTTTTGGTCATAAATTTTTTATATTGAGTGTTCATAAAATATTCTTTCGGCGAGTTACGAAAGTTTCTAGATTCGAGTTAACAAAAAAAGGTATAAACGTTACTTACGTAAGTGTGGTTTGACATTAAAGGTTTGATGGTAAGATTGCCGATATGCATAAGGCTAATGCCACCCCACTGATCTTTAAAGATGATCTCTTCATCTGAAATAAGAGATACTTATCAAGAAATATTTATCTCCAAGCTCAAAAGCCGGCGGATTTAGTGGCACAAAGGAATATTTGATTATGTAAATCCAAGCTAATTACGAAAGTTCTACTCGGGGAGACTCGATGTCCCAGCCGTTTCTGCTGAATTCGTGAAAATGTACTGAAAACATTTTTTACCTTTTCCTTATATCACGGAGAAGGCAAAAAACCTGCAAATCCTGTAATCTCCTAATCTGAATGTCCAAGTTGTCTGCTAACATTTCACCCGCAATGGACAGATTTAAAGCTAGCTATAAGGGGAGAGTGTCGGCTACAAATTAATTTTTTGCGCAGTGTTCATGAGTTTTTTTAGTAAAATATGACGACAAGTTGAAAATGCTTTTCGTTCCTGAAACTTTTATGTTAAATTATAACTTTGACACAATTTTATTCAAAATTTAATTAAATTAGATACATGTATCATTAATAATTTTTATATTGATCAATATTCTAAAATAAAAATGGTTCACCTCACAATTTTACCGCATACGCGAACTTTACAAAACCCTTGTTTGTGACATATTCTGTGTCAGCGGGTTTCGTCGCAGTGGATCGCACAGCAAAGCGACCGCATTTCGAAAGGTAACCTTCTCGATAATACAATTTAAGTCCCACCCACGTTCCGTGACATTTACGGTTTTGAACCGTCCACGTACCGTAGTATTTCAATAAATTAGCACGACCTTACAGGGCTATTTCGCTTGATGGTGGAATATTTCAGGCTGCGAGAAAATGAATTATTTAGTTTTAATCCAAAGAATGCGCACGCATTTCCATCGAATCGAAACGGAGTTATTCACGCGAAACATAGAAAAATATTTATCGTAACGGTATCTTCAAGTATTTTATTACATTGAAAGTTGGGGAAATTTTCGTGACGTTAAGTTACTTCGTGTTAGTACTTAGCAATCGTTCTGCCTCTACGGAAAACTTTTTCCACTAACCTGAAACCCACGTGCCGTTAAACCTCAGGGGCTGAAAGTCGTGACTAAGAATGTCTTGGAGTTTGAATCGCGTCCCTTTTACGCGAGGACCTTCATCCGGCGGCGTCAACAGGACCACGGAAGTTACAATGAGCGCCAAAACGACCACGATGACAAGGAGAGCAATAAGGATGCCTCGCCAGTTACGTTGGTTTGTATTGCTGGACACCAACTCCTAAAATAAAACGAGAAAAAAATTATAGATTGCTTATTTATGATTTATCACAATATTTTTGTAATCCAAAGTGTATTTACTATTAAAAAAAAAGGAGAGTTTACGCTTTAATTTGATATAAATATTATTGCTTAGTATTCATTAAAGTCACAGCGATTTTTTGAATTTTGTTAATTTTTGCTCCATATTAGGTGATGATAAAAATGGTAGATATCTTATTTGTTGTTTATAGGTAGATATTTATGATGCAACCTATCAATTAATATATATTTTCCAAAAGTAATGAGTTTGGGCTTTAGTTTGATATAAAAGTCATGGCTTAATATCCATAAATAAAGTCCAGCGATTTTTTGAAATTCTTCAATTTTTGTTCCGTATTAGGTGAAAACAAAAATTACGGATATCTTGTTTGTTGTTTATCACAATATTTTTATGATCCAACCGACTGATTAATATATATTTTCTAAAAGTAGAGAGTTTGGGCTTTAATTTAATATAAAAACCATGACTTAATATCCATAAATAAAGTAGCTGTGATTTTTTGAATTTAGCCAATTTTTGTTCCAAATTAGGTGATGACCAAAGTTACAGATTTCTTATTTATTTATAGCAATATATTTATGATCCAACCTATTGATTAATATATATTTTCCAAAAGTAGAGAGTTAGGGCTTTAATTTGATATAAAAACCATGATCCATAAATAAAGTCGCTGTGATTTTTTGAATTTCTTCAATTTTTGTTCCAAATTAGGTGATAACCAAAGTTACAGATTTCTTACTTGTTATTTATGGCAATATATGTATTTATTATCAAACCTACTGATTAATATATATTTTCCAAAAAAAGAAAATTTAGGCTTTAATTTGATATAAAAGTCATGGCTTAATATCCATAAATAAAGTCGCTGTGATTTCTTGAATTTAGTTAATAATTTATGTTCCAAATTGGGTGATGACCAAAATTAAAGATTTTTTATTTATTATTTATCGCTATATATTTGTGATTAAACCTATTGATTAATATATATCATCCAAAAGTAGAGAGTTTGGACTTTACTTTGATATAAAAGTCATGACTTAATATCCATAAATAAAGTTGCTGTGATTTTTTTAATTTAGTCTATTTTTGTTCCATATTAGGTGATGACAAAAATTGTAGATTTCTTATTTGTAGTTTATCGCAATATATTTATAACCCAACCTATTAATTAATATACATTTTCCAAAAGTAGAGAGTTTGGGCTTTAATTTGGTATAAAAACCATTACTTAATATCCATAAATAAAGTAGCTGTGATTTTTTGAATTTAGCCAATTTTTGTTCCAAATTAGGTGATGACCAAAGTTACAGATTTCTTATTTATTTATAGCAATATATTTATGATCCAACCTATTAATATATATTTTCCAAAAGTAGAGAGTTAGGGCTTTAATTTGATATAAAAACCATGATCCATAAATAAAGTCGCTGTGATTTTTTGAATTTCTTCAATTTTTGTTCCAAATTAGGTGATAACCAAAGTTACAGATTTCTTACTTGTTATTTATGGCAATATATGTATTTATTATCAAACCTACTGATTAATATATATTTTCCAAAAGAAGAGAATTTAAGCTTTAATTTGATACAAAAGTCATGGCTTAATATCCATAAATAAAGTCGCTGTGATTTCTTGAATTTAGTCTATTTTTGTTCCATATTAGGTGATGACAAAAATTGTAGATTTCTTATTTGTAGTTTATCGCAATATACTTATAATCCAACCTATTAATTAATATATATTTTCCAAAAGTAGAGAGTTTGGGCTTTAATTTGGTATAAATACCATTACTTAATATCCATAAATAAAGTCGTTGTGATTTTTTGAATTTAGTCAATTTTTGTTCCAAATTCGGTGATGACAAAATTACAGATATTTTACGTCTTGTTTATCACAATATATTTATGATCCAACCTACTGATTAATATATATTTTCCAAAAGTAGAGAGTTTGGGCTATAATTTGCTATAAAAATCATGGCTTAATATCTATTAATAAAGTCACAGCGATTTTTTGAATTTAGTCAATTATTGTTCAAATTAAGTGATGACCAAAATTAAAGATTTTTTATTTGTTATTTATCGCTATATATTTGTGATCAAACCTATTGATTAATATATATCATCCAAAAGTAGAGAGTTTGGACTTTCATTTGATATAAAAGTCATGGCTTAATATCCATAAATAAAATAGCTGTGATTTTTTGAATCTAGTCAATTTATGTTCTAAATTAGGTGATGACCAAAGTTATAAATTTCTTATTTACAATTTATCGCAATATATTTATGATCCAACCTATTGATTAATATATATTTTCCAAAAGTAGAGAGTTTGGGCTATAATTTGATATAAAAGTCATGATTTAATATCCATAAATAAAGCCACTGCGATTATTTGAATTTCTTGAATTTTTATTCGGTGTTAGGTTGTGTTCAAAATTACACATTTTGTATTTGTTGTTTCCCGCAATATTTTTATAATCCAACCTTTTAATTAATATGTTTTGTTTAAAAGCGTAAAGTTTAAGCTTTAATTTGATATAAATATCATTACTTAGTATCCATAAATAAAGTCACAACGACTTTTTGAACTTTTTCAATGTTAACTCAATATTAATTCAATTCAAATAATGACGAAAATTACCGATTTCTTATTTATGATTTATCCCAATACTTTAATAATACCCATCAATTAATATGCATTTTCTAAAACTACAAAGTTTAGATTTTCATTTCATATAAAAATCATTACTTAATATCCGGTTTAATTGAATCTGAGAGATTCTCTTCACGTTTAATAGAGAACTATAGAGATTGAATCACAGTTTGTTGCCACACGTTTCGCACAAAGCCGAGCCAATTTAGGTTCGCCTGTCAGTCGACGGCTTCAATTCAGCTATTGTTTCAGTTTTTTTTTGTGCACCAGCTTTTCGTACTGCAGTTCAATTTACTGCTGCCCCATTTATCCCGTAATGTTCAACTGATGATCGAAATGACCAAGCTAGTTCTAGTGTGTTTTTCCGTTATTTTGGGGCAACAAAACCACATCAATTTGCAAACAAGGTTTGTTTGCTTCATTACCAAGAATTGCGATTGAAAAAAATTAAATCTAAATTTTTACCTCACGTTATATGCCATAACGAATTCCTTTACTCAGTCTCAATACTTAGCTTGGTGGAATTCACGGAATCAAATTACGTGTTCGTGGAGCAATTTCGATTTGTGCTCGAATTTCATTGACCGCGAGTAAAATTAATTATCATTTTCAAGAGTCTCGGAAATGAACAGGATTCTACGAAGTGTATATAGGAGTTGAATTATTACTTTGGCACCGAAAATAAAACCGAATCAATTAGTCGACTGTTACGTAACATGACTCGAAGTTTCAGTAATTACCATTAATTTGATGGGGAGAAGTTGAACCGTCTCCTAAATCAAATTGAATATTGAACGTTCGTGTCTTCCTACGGCAATAATATTTAATTTAAGATACGTTTCATGCGTGACTTTTGCATTTATATTTCTAATCAATTACTGCTTTATTCTAAGAGAGAAGCTTCTAACCGTATACATGATCTATCTCAAGTTATATACACATTGTAATTTTAGTTCCATTATCTTGCTTAATGACTTAACTTCAGGCATATGACACGTTGAACTTTATGGTGCTGTAGTTATGTATAAGATAATTGCAGAAATGTAGACTGTAATACAAAGTTTGATATTAAGTCTCTCTCACATGATAGTTATTTTTATATTCTTTTACATTACGGTTTAATAATGTTGTGAAGTAAACCCGAACTTTGCACAAGTATATACAGATAGTGTCGGATTATTCCCCTAGGACTTGTCGGTAGCGCAGCTATATTGGGCGGCACTCGGGGACGATGTAGATTTTATCATCTCATTAAAACAGCTTAATACAACATAACAAAATAATTAAAAAAAGATTAAATTTGTTTTATCAATTTCTATTTTATAGAACAATAAAAATACTAATCATTTAATACCTCAGAAATCCAGGTTTTAATTTTGAAGATACAAACTTATGAGACATAACTATTAAAAATGAAATATTGATTGTTGAAATTATCATGAGATCATGAGAATCATGAGATTTATCTCTTGTAGGTGATGGTGAAGTGAATTCCAAATTTGTTCTGCTACTTCCGTTGTACACAATGTTTATGCATTCCGGTCTGAATCATGATAAACATTACAGTGATTAATGGTTGTTCATAAATATATTATTTGATTTTGCAATAAATCCTAATGAGATTGAAGTTAGTCCTCTATTTATAAATATTACTGAGAGAGCTGGTTCATAAACTCTTCTGAGCTCGGAAAATTAGACACTTAAATCGACTAAATCATCTACTACTTTCAGAAGACTAGATACTGTTGGTACAAGTCCAAATACTGCTAAAATACGCTACATCATGTTTGCGTAAAGCTAGATGCTATTTCAGAAGACTAGACTATTAATGAAAAACTACCTAGCGCTTATAGAAAACAAGATACTGTTTGCAGAACACTGGATACTACTGATACAGGATTAAATACGGCTAATGGAAGATTAGATACTTCTAATAGAAACCTAAATAATGCTTGCAAAAGACTACCCATTAGTTACAGATAACTATATACTGCTGGCTGAAGCCTAAATGCTGTTAATAATACTATAGACCTTGCTTGTAGAAAGCTTCATACTGTTGGCAGAAAACTACACTGTTGATGAAAGACTAGAAAGCGTTAATAGAAGACAAAATACTGTTTGCAGAATGTTGCATACTATCAATGAAATATAAACCTCAGATTCTGCTGATAGATACCACTTGCTGCATCTAGCACTCTAGATACCGCTGTTAAAGGATCTGATACTGCTGACAGGTATAGATTATACTTGCAGAAATTTACTATTATCTGAAGAAGACCAAATACTGACGGAAAACATCCAAA